TTACTGCAGGTATCTTAGCGTGAAACTGCAGCTTCTTTCTCATAATAGATGTAAATCTATTTCTCACAGCAGCTGCAGTTGATCTCTGGGAAATATGATGATTTTAGGAATATATGAAGAAAGAAAAGAAAAAAGAGGAAAAAGCCATGGGGGAAAAAAACCTCAGCACTTAGAGAAAATTGCGGGGGAAAGGGCAGAGGTCTGACATGACACAAGTAGTCCTCTCTTTCCCATGTTGGTCTGCACCTTTCCAGGCAGAATGGGATGGGGTACACTTCCTTCATGGCACGCTTGGGAGGGGCCCTGGCCCCGCTGGTGTTCCTGCTGGACGAGGTGTGGTGGTCCCTGCCCGAGGTGACATACTGCGGTGTCGCCGTGTGCAGCGGCGCCGTGGCCTTTCTGCTCCCGGAGACGCTCAATGTGCGCCTTCCCGAGGGCATCGAGGACGTCGAGAGGCCACAGTGAGTCACCTCCATCCTGCCCTGCACGTGGCTTCTGACGAGGAGAGGGGACATCCCTCTCTGCTGCCTGCAATTCCCCGTCTGTGGGTGGCAGGGAAAGAAGGGACAACCCAGTGGCGCTGCTGGCCTTCCAGCTTTTTTGTCCATCAGCCCAAATATGATTTTTTTTTTCCTTCCAGAGTAAAAGTGCCACCAGAAGTCAGTGCTCCCGAGGGCATGCCGCTGCAGGCTCTCCTGAAGTGAGGGACCCAAAGGGACAGCCATCGTGTAGGGCTGCACAACTGAGCGATGCTCTGATCTGCCAGGGGAAGAGCCTTTATTGCCCACCCATCTCACTCCCAAGGGAAGTGGAACTGAGGACACTGGAGGAAGGAGGCAGATCAGGACACCAGCTGGCAGAGCTGACCCACTCTGTAGTGTGGCCAGCAGCAAGGATGCAGAGGTCTAACAGGATGTGGAAATAAAGGCACCTCGTGCTAAGCTCTTCCAGTCTTTGGCCTTTTTGGACTTCGACCTTTCAGATCCGTGCACAGCCTTCCAGAAGGTACAGTCCATTGGTTCATACACCTCGAGAAACAATGCAGCAAGAAAAACAATGAGTGTGAATCATGCAAACCCAAATAAACTCTAATAAATCTAACTTGATGGTAATTTATGGTTTGTTTTAAACCATAAACTGTAGGTCTGGACAGTTTTCACACTCAGGCTCAGAGCCAGCAAAAAACACATGCAGGAATCCCATTGAGAATGGGTTAACTGCAAGCATTTTCCCTACATACACAAAGAAGAAAAAAGCTTTTGCATTTAAATCTAGTGTGTATGCAAGAAATATACTTCAAGCAATAGGGGAAAAAAACTTCACAAATCCCAAATACAAAATCCACCTTGCTACAGGAAACTTGGTATGGAATACTGAGTAGTTCATTATTGGATTTCATTTTGCTTATTTGTCTAACACATTGATCTTAACTTTACAGAATGTCTTTGCCTCTTGCGCTTAATTATGCAAACAACAGAGATGAGCCACCAAATTATATATCAGTTGAATTTATCTATAAATTTGGAATCCTGATAAACAGCACATACCCAAACTGGGAAGAGGGAGTGGCTTCAGGATCTGAGTCCCAGCTGCTCTGTGACTCCCTGGGCTGCGAGGTGTTACAAGCTAAGCCATGCACACTGTGAAGAGAACACACACTGAAGATGCATCTGAAAACAGATGCAGAGGAACATCCAATCCTAGGTCCAAGAGCACCTCCTAGTAGAAATAAGCTGCCTGAAGAATTTTTTTTAGCTGCTCTAAGACAGCAGCTATTTTTTAAATTATTTTTTTCTATCCATGAATCACTTGACACCTTACCTTGTGCTCTCAAAAAAAGGAAAGGCAATGTGCAGATCATGACCAATCTGTGTTTCCTTCAGCAAAATGGAAATATATATGTTCCAAGATATGTATAATATCTTGGAAATATATCATGATTTATAGCAACCAGCTGGAGTATGCAATGCTGATGTCATTACTCATACAGTGTCTGTAGGAAAAACAGGACACTAACCAACTCAAAACCTCAGAATTTTCATTATTGATCAGTTTGTTAAGACAAACCTTACTTGTGGTAGGGAGAAAATCTGACTTTCAGAATTTGAATTTTTGAGTTATCTTTGGTCTGCTGCAGGTTTTTTTGTGAGGAAGACAGAAGCGATGCTTACAAACA